GGGGGCAGAAAGAGACAGGGCGTGGCTGCTTACTCTTTGGGATTGTTTAATCTCTTCTCCCACCAAATGACTTCCTCCCGAGAGCCGAAAACATAAGTGCAGGTGACTCAGAAGAACCTTATTCTATGTGTTTTCACCTTTCGTGTTAAATAATTACGTCCCCAGAGATTCTTAGAGCACCTTCCCACCTTAGCACTCCTATCTCTTGTTTTGCTGCTGGAAAATAATAAATAATAATAATAGTAATAATATAATAGTAATTGCTAATATTTATTGAGCTTCTACTATGGGTCAGACACTATAATTTTGAAGTATTATTGCATTTCATACTATAAAATGACCCTATGAAATGGGTCCTATTAAATTTCCATTTTATAAATGGAAAGACAGAGGCATGGAGAGGTTAAGAAATTTGTCCAGTGTCAGCTTGTAAGTAGGCTAGCTTGTATTTAGATGCTGACAATCTGGTCCAAAAGCTTGCACATCCAGTTATAAGGCTGGAGAGAAAATACTATTGGATTATTTATGTCCACAAGCATTTTTTAGATGTGAGATAATGTTGGCTTTTATCAAAGGCAGGAAGAAAAACATGAATAAAACTAACTTTNAATGTTGGCTTTTATCAAAGGCAGGAAGAAAAACATGAATAAAACTAACTCTGCCGGGCGGGGCATGGCTCAGCAGTTGAGCATCGACCTAGGATCCAGGAGTTCAGGGTTCGATTCCCGGTCAGGGCACATGCCCGGGTTGCGGGCTGCAGCCGATCAATGACTCTCTCATCATTGATGTTTCTCTCTCTCTCTCTCCCTCTCCTTTCCTCTCTCTGAAATCAATAAAGATATATTTAAAAAAACACAAAAAAACACACCAAAAAAACTAACTTTATCCTTTCAATATGCCCAAACCAAAAGAGTAGCAAAGAAGGAAATGAAGATCNTCCTCTCTCTGAAATCAATAAAGATATATTTAAAAAAACACACCAAAAAAACTAACTTTATTCTTTCAATATGCCCAAACCAAAAGAGTAGCAAAGAAGGAAATGAAGATCTCAATTTATGTTTGAAAAGTGTTCTATTTCATAAACAGTCTTCAAAGCCAAAGTTCACAACTTCAGTCTCAAAACAAGCAAAATTTTTCAATTTTAATTGGTAACAAAACTCTTCCTAAGATTTCAATTGATACACGTTTCATAGCTCACTCCTTTTGCTTTTTCAACTGTCTTCTTTTTTTTAATATCTACTTACATTTGTTGGCCTGAAAGGTTCACACATAAATTTAGTAAAATCATGTGATCATTCTGAATACTGATAAATGAAGTCGGTCAAATAACCTACCAACAGCTCTCAGCCAGTTATCAACAACTGATTGATNGTCAAATAACCTACCAACAGCTCTCGGCCAGTTATCAACAACTGATTGACTGGTAAATATTAGTCAAAAGAATTTTTTGTGTTTCAAACACCATGGGGAAAAAAACAGCCCCACACAGGCAAATCCTTTTCAAAATTCGTCATAACTGTGAACTGCATACCTGACATTACAATGTATTAATACCTAAATATGCTCTCTAAAAAAAAATGGTTAAATAGAAAATTAGATACTGGTACAAGTTTTTATTTCATGTAAATGAAAGTTAATGTCCACTGGTTAATATCATCAACAGTTAGCAAATTGGCAAACTATGCAAAAAAACTTAACATCTAAAACCACTGAGATGTGTAACTTTGGCTCTTCATTCAGCAGCACTAGAGAGCTCATCAAAGGGCATCTTCGTGTTGGGTTGTGGGGTCCTTGAAGGCAGAGACTCTGTCTTGTTATTCTCTATGTACCGTTAGATTCTTATACTACTTAGCAATTCTTACATACTTATTGAAGGAGGATGAAGACCCAAGTTCTAATCCAAACACCTCTACTAACTGCATGTGGTACCTTGGGTAAGTCATTTGCAACACTAGAAGTCAGATTTTTTTGTCCATAAAATATGGAGTTCCAACTATATGAACTTAAAAAAAAAAATCCTTCCTGCTCTTCTAGTATAAAATGCTATGAGTGATAAGCCAATAATCAAATGACTTTCATGGCCCACCTACGTAAATTTCCATTTCACTACTGAGATTTCTTTCTTTCTTAAGAACCTTTCTGTTTCATTTAGGGTTTAATTTCTATTTTTATTACCCATTATCAGCATCCACACACAGGACAGTTGCATTGCTATAACAAAGTGTTTGAAGTGGTTTAAAATTCTAATTTTGGTCAATTTTACACAAACTTCTCACTCAAAGATGTCATACTTGAAATGCAAAAGTAAAAACAAAATCGGCATAGCCCAGACTTTGCCGTAAGGGAAGAAAAAGTATTTCCTTTTCTCTGAATGTCCTCTGCCTTTAATACATTTCCCTAAACCACAAAAATCATGAACAAGGCGATGCTTTGCCCAGAAGAGCCTTTCCGAGAAGACCAAGCCTCCAGAGCCTCACCTTGCCAGCACGCTGCCCCCGACAAGAGTTATAGATAACTTTCCTTCATCGTTCAGCTGATGCAGATTAATTTCATCTCGGAATATGTGGAATGATTCGGAGAGATTTAGCTCTTCGAGGATAAACCTTGTCTCAGTGAAGTAGCTGAATTCAGTCCTTGGTACGTTCAGCACAGGCAAACACAGGACGCCGGGTGGACTGACCTACCAAGAAAGAAGTGAACAGTCTGACACAGCAGGAGGGACGAACACAATTACATCCCTCCAGCCGGTTCACCAGTAAAGGGGACAACAGTCCGTGGGCCTTGTTAAACCACCTGACATTCATAACCAACTTTACCTGAACCCCATTAGCAGATTTTTACCCACGTGTCTACATGAAACTTCTCGTGCCTTATTTGAAATACTTTGTCTCTTTTCAACCCCTCCACAAATTAAAAAAAGATGTATACATTCTGCACTTTAGGAGAAATAAATTCACATCTTTTGTGGAATCAGCAGAAAATCAGAATGAGTGAAGTAGGGCAGGTGAGGACTGTGGTGACACAGAAAGGCATTCATGTCCCATCTCCGTGGGATGTCTGTCACTCAGCTCTAGCCGATGGTTCACATGCGAAAAATTCAGGCCCGGGATGGTTAAGTCTTTTAATTACTCAAGAAAAGCTGGAAATCTGGATTTCTGAGGTGTTATATGTGATGCTTGTTACAATTAATATTTTAAAATAAGAACACTAAGTAGATTAATGAAACCTCACTTAGGAGCCAGATTTTGGCCCACAGCACAGACTAACTGTTGTGACTTCCATTGGTTTCTTATATATTATATGTTATTTTTTAAATCTTATATAAACAAACCTGTTATTAAAAGTGCGGTAATAGGGGGAAGAGAGAGATAGGTAGGAGCAAGGGAATTGCAGAGTCACAATAATAAACAGAGTTTTCTATAGAAATTCTAAAACTACAGGGGTTTTTAAAAATACTATGAGTGTATTGCAATAAACCCTAAGTATCACTCAGAGAATGTGGGCTTTGGTGACATTGAATTTTGCATGAAGTAAATGACCTTTATTTCCACATCATCACCAGCTCTGGCACAAGCAGTGCTTATTACTCACTTTTAACATCCATGGCACCATCCCTCTTTCTTAGCACTAAGATGACAGGGCATTTTGTCTCTTTTGTTCAGTTATGTTTCCCAGTGCATAAAGCTGTCTGGCACAGAGCAGACATTTAATATGTATTTGTTGAGTGAAATAAATGAACCCCCACTGCTATTGTTTGGGAAGCAAAAAGTCCCTCCAACAAAATAGCTTTTCTCCAACCTGTCAGGCTAATACTGAGTCACAACTGCATCGTAAGCATTAGTAATTTATCGATGGCAAGTTATTTTTCCTGATTAATTGGTAGAGCTATATCTGACTCCTAATATTGAAACTTGAGTCAAGAGCATGCAGCCTGAGGCTATCTTGGCAGGACCTATTCTGAGGTTAGAGTCAGAAGAACTAGGTTCTAGGCCCAGCCTCCTGGGTGATTTTGAGAAAGCCAATTTTTTTTCTGAGCCTCAGTTTTCCCCATCTGTAGAATGGAGCTTACCTACCTAACAGAGTGAAAAGCAGTTAAATGGAGTCTTACATGTGAAGCTGCAAAATCTCTGTACTTATCCTATGTGTTACCACTCTAAGATGGAATAGCAGGTTCTCAGAAAAAATTAAAATGGAGACGCAGACCTCTGGTAGGGGGTGGGATCCAGTAAACTGAGAGCAAGGCACAGAAACACGAAGAACACCCAGAGCGTGCCCATCAGTAACTCATGTTTGTCTCCATGCTCAGTGGCAAATCTTAGAAGGAGAAAAGAGGCCACACGACTCTTTATTTTTATCTGTCTGTTTTATCTATCCCAACTACCTTCCCACTCCTTTTGTTAGATGTCATTGTGTCACTCAAGATACTGTAGTTATTGTTGATGGTGTAACTAGTATATCACTTCCTTAAGAACCCATGCCACTATCAGTCTAAAAATCAGTCTGGTTCAGTCAATTCTGTGTTCTTGAGATAAGAAACATTTTTTTCTAGGAGTCAGAAATCAGTTAATAAGATCAATATTTATTATGCATGTCTTGACACAGGCACACTTATCTCCTCATACAAATTAATCTCCCTTGTAAAGTTTAACAGATTTTAAGATAAAAAAATTTAAATTAAGGTAAATTTGCTACCAAGCCTGTACGTAGAGATCAGCATATTTGGCCTGGCATTTTGGTCAGCGGCTGCCCTGAAGCCATTCCTGCCACCACGGCGCCTTCAGAAGACTGTGTTTCACGTGAATTGAATCACTCTAGATCAGCTATGCATAACCTAAGAGTCAAGGATCCAAATAAAACTGGAACAAAACAAAGAGACTCCAGAAAATTAAAAATGCTGTGAAACTGGAAATAGCACCGCAATACTCATAATGTACCTTTTTTGACTTTGAGATAATGCATTATCATGGGCTGATGGATTTTATGGAGTGGAAAATTTAGACAACTTATTGAAAGGTCTTTTCATCTTTATAGGCATATAATAGACTTTACAGAGTACAAAGATTCTCACTCAAGGGAGGTTGTCACCAATGAGAACGACCTTGCTGTACACAGTAAGCGCTAAAAGGCAGAAACAGAAATGACTGTTCTTAAAATTTACATCACAATTAAAATTAAAAACTAAAATCTTTTTCCCCCTCACCTTGTCTAGAAAGTAAGCATATGTGAAGGCAGAAATGAGAGAATCCAAGTCACACGATTTATGTCCAATAACTACATGGACCTTCTCCAAGCGTTTGCTTCGATTCTGAAACACATTCAAAAAGAACATCACAGTTTAACATGCAATAGATCAATATAAACAGGACACTTTTCCATCTTATTTTTAAGTATGGCCTTAGCTACATTCATACAAGATTGCAGAAAATCATAGATTTATCATGAAGGTTTTACACGAAGACATAAAATTGCACAGCATGTTTAACACTCAGAAATGCTCGTTCAAATTTTAGTAAATTGTCAGGAACAGCAGATTGTTGGTTCACAATCTCAGGAGTGTCCCCAGGTGAAATCTGAAACTAGCCCCCATACAGAGAGGGCAAAAAGAGACAAAGAAAGAAGCAGAGCACTCCAGCTTGGTAGGTGGCAGTTTTAATGAGCAAGGGAACTAACAAAGCTTGTCTTGAGTGGCCACAAGCCAAATAGATCTCTGCACCCTCTTGGCAGAATCTTAAACATTTATACAGAGGCCTGAACTGGGTTCAGTCATGTATGATCTCAACAAGAACATTATTGTCTCAAGACTGCATCCGCAAAAAAGGTTTCCACTGTGGGAATGGTGGGCAGGACATACATTCTGGGGGCAGGAGAGCATGAGGAACCTCCAATTGCCTGGGTCTAGCTCACAGGTCAACTGCTAGTTATATCCTCTTGATGATCTCCTATTAAGATTATTCATAATCTAACTCATATGAAATGTATCTTTGAGTTAAAAATTTTTAATGAAAGATTATTTTGGTCTAAAGAACAGCTCCACAGTATTTTATATTATTTCCTTATGTAAAATGTTCTTCTTAATTTGACAAAGTATCTTTTTTTTATATGTCCCTGGCATACAACACAAAATTTGGTAGGAATTTATTTTTTGCATGCCGCATTTTGGGTGATAGGATATGTTCTCTCTGCATTATACTCTATAATTTAGCAAATAAAAGTTGTGACACTTTTTCTTCCCCCAGAGAAAGGAATATGATTAGTATCACTGCTCAAAAAATATAAATCAGTTGCTATTAAAAAATGTATATAATCACCTCTCTGGAAAAGAAGATATGCTTTTGTCATTCCTGGTTAACTCCATAGTTACTTAATGTCCCTTTATAGAAGGCTGAGTTCCTTTTGAAACCCTGGGTTGGACATGCCTAAGGACCAATCACTAATAGAAAATTTCACAACAAAACTGTCCAATAATGATCACTGTAAGCTCAATTGATATATTTATAGTATGTCAGAGATGACATGTACGTATACTTCCCTGACTTTCAACCTTTATTTTAACTTCTCTTTTTAGGACTGACTAGAAAGCCAATTCAATGGTAATACTGCTCAAGAAGGTTATATAAAAACTCACAATGCACAGGACTATTTCAATAAAAAAGACTTACTTATTCCCTTATCTACAGAACAAAGATAAGGGAATTACTATTAGTAATGTTACTAGATATTTTACAAATGAATCTATAAGTGTATTAGTATTTGTATGGAACTGCTGCTGTCTGAGTCAGAAACAAGTTATTAAACAACCAGCTTGTGGCCCAAGGAACCTAATAAAGTAAATCTTGAAGGGGCTGAGTTAAAGAGTCTACCAGAATAGAGAATGATGGCAGGATCAATAGTACAGATGAGTCATGCAATATGTAATTTTGCTAAATTAAAATAAACATACATATTTTAAAATATATTGAGGTATTGATCTTCAGTAAAACAACATGATTGAAAATACGATATAAACTCGCTGAAGATAATTACAATTCTCTACCCCCATCTCCACCAACTCTAGCTCCTGTATTTTCCTCTCCCAGCTTCATTCCCTTAATCTCACAAATTTATAGCTGGCTCATTTGGCTGAGTACCGTTGGTGGTTCTATTGTAGGCCCAGTTCTCACTCTCAAAGCCGGATGCTTCTTCTGTGCAAGACTGTCAGATATTCCAGAAACATCTAAAGAAACCTAGGTAAATGGAATTATACTCCATTACAATACAAACAAATGCATCAGGAAATCATATTACTGTAGAATGTTGTTCTTCCGAGAAGCGCGTAGGTCTGAGTAGACATTACCTCATTTCTCCTCCCAGATCTTGTAAGGCAGGCAATAAGAAGATTAACAACACTTTTTATAGGTCAACGGAGTCTGTGATGTGGCCAAGACTGTTCCCAGAACTCATGACCCAGTTCACTGAGCCCTGTCTCCTCTGCCCTGCACCAACCACTCTATAATGCCAGAGTGACTTAGAGTCTACAAAATGAATGAACATGGGGATTGAAGAAAAAAGGAGGATGTTAATATGCATTCTGAGTACAGCAAGGCTTCAGACATTCATACTTATCAAGATCTCCTCGAAGCTGCCTTCTCCGCTTTCTTGTCTAGGTTCAATAATTCGCAGGCACAGCCCTGTGTTCAGCACTCAACTCGCATAAAAGAAGACATGGGGGAAATAGGAAGACACGTGTGTCACTGCATTTCCAAGCACAAACCAATTACTACTTAGAAAAAGAAAGGAGCTAAATAGAAATATAAACCCAAAGCATGTTGGACCGATTCTAACAATGCAGGAATCTTCTAAGATTATGATTTATTCTCCCTCCATTTAAATAGAAAAAAGTACGTATCATCCTGTCGGCCAGGCCGTAGAAGATCCTGGTGCAGAACTTGGAGGGTTCTTTTTGGTGCCACAAGCCTGTCTTTTCACGCTTTCTCCTTTCCCTCTGACTTCCCTTCTTCCCACACCTCAAGCTCCCTCACAGTCATGGCCTCTTCTAGGGCCACTCACTCATGTCTGTCATCTGCAGCCAGTGCCCCGGTTCCCAGGCTCCACCTCTCTCTCCTCCTCACCACCCACCTCCCCCAAAATTACCACCCTGATGCCCATGTTATCAGGGATCTATCTGCTTCTCCACTAGCAACTCCAATGCCAATGAGTACCCCTGGGTTAGAGTTACCCACCAACGTAAAGTACTTTCATTTTAAAGAGACCTTCCAGAAGTTACACCATAATTCCAAAATATGACCAGAATTTCCAGCAGGGTGAGAATGTTGGACCAGACAGAAGGGACATCACAGCTACAAAGTACCTGTAGTGCCTGCAATAAGCCTTAAAAGTGATAGGCTGGGCCTCAAAAAGTCTCAGATGTCCCTGAGTGCCTGATTCCTACCAAAAACCTCCAATAAGATATAATTAGAAGGTGGCACAAGGAAGATATAATAGTAACCATGCTCAGACCGACTCCTGCCTACTTGGAGGAATAGGATATGACATTAGTTATGTAGATTTACTCAGTAGGTAAGCGCAAGAAATGCGCAAGATTTGGCTCTTCAAAGTGGGGGTCAAGAATCAGAGAATACAACAGATCCACTTTCAAGCTTCCCACCACAGGTGACCTTGGCAGTGAGAACAGAGGAAGCACAGGGGTCCAGTCAAGGCAGAAAAATCTGGGGACTGATTTCAAGTGTCCAGGGAAGGTAACAGGGGGTCCTTGCAGGGCCAGGTCCACTCTGCAGCAATGGCCCCACCTGCAGAAGCAGCAGTAAAACTGGTCAACGGAACTCAGAGGAGATTCTTGACCATGATGACACTCTGCACTTCTTACTACAGGTCTGGGGGCCCCTCCACATATTCACAGACTCACAGATGCTCAATCTAAAATCTACGTCCCTTGATACAGCTCACACTGGGGTCTGGATTATTCATAGACAAATCAATTCAATGAATTATAGCCATTCAACCAATAAAAATCTGTTTGTGTCAAGCATGGTACTAAGCCCTAGGGATATAGTAGAGAACCAAACAGACAAAAATCCCAGCCTTTATGATACTTGCATTTTACTGCAAGGAGATATGAATCAAATAATTAGATAATGCTAAATGAAGGAGACAGGGTATGCTGAGATGAGGTACATTTGAGAAGGTACTATCAGAGTAAAAACCTGAAGTGAAGAAGTGGGACCTAAGGGTATCTCAGGCCAAGGAAATAGCAAGTGCAAAGGCCCTGAGGTGAGAGCATGCCCAGCAGGTTCAACAAATAACTATTGTCTACTGTACACATTTTCTAAATGTAACTTTGTAAACTCCTAGCCAGGAGTAAATAGATCTGGGAAGTAAACACTCATTCTCTAGTGCCCAGGCACACCAAGAATCAAGGAGGATTCGTTGCTAATTCCTAAACACTGCACTGTGCAAAACCAAAACATAATGGAATCTTGGTAATGGGCTGAAAGAGACACTACACTGCCTTGTCATCTACACTTCCAAATAGATGGGCAGAATCTTTCACAATCAATGTATAAAAGAAAATATATTGAACGTGCCAGTATTCCAGGTCACAATTTTAATATGCTTTCAAAATGTAATCCTATACATCACTAAATGGAGGTTTCTTAATGAAGTTTACTCCTTATGTCTTTTTAAAAGCCAGCAAAATGCCTAAGCATTCAGTCAAGGGCCCATTAAAGGGAACTGCACTCATCAGGCAAAAGCACTTCCAAACACAGCCACAGAAAACAGGATTGATTAGAAAGAGGGCTTCCCAAATGCTGCTGAAAGCTTAGGCCCCCTCCATCAGCTTTTTCATAACTCCACCCTCGAGACACCAAGTTCCTCCCGTCTATAACTTTCCACATCGAAAGTCCCACGATACACCCTTAGTCAACAAGCCCTGCAATGCAGCTATACTATGATCTCTCCATATCCATCCTCCTGAAACTTCTTAAAAACCTTAAGAAAATTTTTTTCAAAAATAATTTATTGAAAATAATTTTGTGCTAAACACATAGCAGACAAAACCCGCAGAAGTTGGAGAATCTCTTCCCTCACACACTAAAGCAGGGCATCGCTCAGTCCCTATGCAACCAGCGAATGAAGACGTGAGAGAGCAAGAAGCCTCTTGAATTTAGTGGACGGGATCTCCGAAGAAACTCAGGCATAGAAAAGAGCCGGCAGTTGAGCTAGTGCCTCCCTGACTACTTGGTAACTCCAAGGAAACGAGGGGCCTCGGTTCCTGGAGGCTGGCCCTCCCCGGCAGACCCCACACAC